GTAATAATAATGATAATAATAATAATGATAATAATAACAATCGATAATGGGAATAATAATAATAATGATAATAATAACAATGATAATAGTAATAATAATAATAATAACAATGATAATAGTAATAATAATGATAATAATAATAATAATGATAATAATAACAATGATAATAGTAATAATAATAATAATGATAATAATAATAATGATAATAATAGCCCTCTCTTTGGTTTTGACGAGGCCTCTGTCTGCTGCAGTGGAGGGGAGGAGTAGGAGGAGGAGGAGGAGGAGGAGGGGAGGAGGAGGAGGGGAGGAGGGAGGAGGGAGGAGGAAGGAGGGAGGAGGGAAGAGGGGGGGAGACTCGGGAGGCTCCTAAAGAAAGACAAAATCTATCAACGAAATTGAACCCGACTGAATGTCTTGACGCAGTGCAGCGCAGTTCATCCTGAACGCCACGTCCAGGAGCCCGAACCTGCACCAAGACAACTAATGTGATACAATATGATGATGTTTTGTCCCTGCAGGTTGGTGCAGGTTTAACTTCCTTTATGTGTGAAGTGGAACAATAAACACACACAAATGAAAGGAAGCAGATTTACTTCCTTTAATGGTGTCAGGAACGGAGCAGGCAAAGGACCCACTTCACTACAAAAACTACTTTATTAAACCCCAAAAATCCCAAAACACCAAAACACCAGAGGGGAAGAACACAGACAGGGAAGAGGAAGGGGAAGAGGAAGAAGAAGAGGAAGAGGAAGAGGAAGAGGAACGGCATCCACGGTTGAACATTCAGTGACGCGACAAAGGACAAAAGACAGGTGATTGGACTCACTATGTGAGTGTCCTCCAGCAGGGACCGTCAGTAAATGTTTACGATGACATCACCACCCCCCCCCTCCTCCAGACGCAGACAGACAGACAGACAGCCAGAGGGACAGACAGACAGATAAGAAATTGAAAGACGTGGAACTTGAACTGCGATCTGATCAGTGTGATGATGCAGTGACGTCATTAAATCCAGTGCATTCAGGATGAAAAGAGACACACACACAAAAAGAAAAGAGTGTCTTGCATTGATGTGAAAATAACCTGCCAGACCAGTTTCCCTGCTGTTTGTAATTTTCTGGATTGAAATAAAGCACACAATGTGTGTAGGTGTGTATCTGTGTGTGTGTGTGTGTGTGTGTGTGTGTGCGTCTGTTCAGGAGCAGCGCTTCCTTTCAGCCCTTTAATTTGTCTTCCACGCTCTATTTTTACAAGAAAAATGTCACCACAAAAATGGCATCTTGCAGATATGTTCCTCCCTACCAATGATTTGCATCCTGGAGTTTTTCAAAAAAGAACATTCACCAAAAGTCCCTTCTTAAAAACAGCGTGGGTCATTTCTACGCTCACCACAGAGGGGTAAGGATTTCTCCTGTAATTGTATCCCAGCAACACAAGAAAGACGGCATATGGATTCTTCCGCAAAACAAGACGGAGCTAAAAAAATTACAACAAAAACGTGCCAGGAACAATTCTCAATCATGTGCTGGTCTGTAAACTCTTGTCGTGAAGTTGTAAATGATTTATCACAGCAGCACAACTGTGAAATCCTTTTTAATTT